ACCAATCATATTGAAGAACGGCAACCCAAAAAACCAACAAAATACCCTTGCCAAGTTACACATAGTTCATTGCGTTTGAGAATGGCATTCTCTAATTTTAAGGAGATTTTTGTGAAACAAAAGGTAACTGTTATCTTAAGCCCATAAACAAAGCCTACAGCCAGGTTTCTATTAGCTTTACTATTTTGTCTTTTATTTGCCTTTTCCCTAGCTTCAAGTCAAAAACTTTTCTATAACATGATAACATTTCCCTGAAAGAAATTTCTTGAAAGATTAATTCCTTTGCAGTGCTGGATGTATTCCGTACAACGATTGGCGGAGGTTATAACCGGTTGTAGCCTCCGCCAACCATGTCGAGGAAGAGGTTTTTTGCACTAGAGTGAACTATAAGATTTCTTCTAGATATTCTTTAGGAAGTTGCGATTTGGGTCTGGGTTATCCCAGCGAACCACGAGCACAGATTATTACCTTAATCGCTTTTGTTACCGAAGCGTACAAGGGACCCCGATCTAGCTCCCACACGTGCACGTAACCTTGTGCGCGCCCATACAGTTGGCTGTGTCGCGACTGTTTGCTTAGTGTTTACCGAGTCGACTCCGTTACTTACCTTCCGCCATAGGTTTAGCGCGTCAAGATGCATTCTATCAAACGTTGCAGTCATTAGGTTTTGCCTCCTCTCCTAGCGTGTATTGTCGTGTCGTAGCCAGGTTTAATCTACATCGTAGCGGGCGTATGTTGTCGAGGTTGGCAAACACCTAAAGGAGTATATCACCTGTTCAGGTCTGCAGATGTAACGCCGAACGGGGTTTTAATCACATCAACACACAAACATATAGAGAAAATGCGGAATAACGATGTAGCTACAATAAATATAAGTCACGATAAAGAGTTAGACAACAGTACGGAGGGGAAGGATACAATACAAAAAGTTACCAAGGACTTGTACAATTGATCCATTTGGAGTGAGGGGTGGTCACAGAATTTCAGTTAGATACCGGTGGAGAGTGCAGCGCTGTCAGCAATTACGGGTGAGGGCCATGCGATGCTGACGGTAAGGAGACGACGATACGTTACGATGGGAAGTGGTGTCAGTGAAGGGAATGAGAAAGAACACCGACATTTTCACCAACAGACGTTCACACCATCCTCATTCGGATGCGCGCTATCTGTGGCTTTGGTACATTCATACATCCATGGTCCGGGATGATTCGTTACGATATACCACCACCTGCTCGCACACGCATACACTCGTGCGCCGTGACACGGCTGACCCCCATGGCCGCGCAAGAACGTACGGCTGTTTCGATGTTTCATCTTGTAAATCACCCTACGCAGGCATCTCATGGTTGGAATCTCGAACTGATTAAGTTGCAAAGCGCCGGGGGTGGTGGACCGCAGAAATGCTCCTGGTGGGGAACTCTTCGACTGGCCGCGTTGAGTCTAAGTGCACTTACACATGCAGCCGCCCAGGCGTCGATGGAGCTCGTTTAATCGAGCGGGGCCGCCGGCTCAGCCAATAAAAGTGCCGAATTCTGCCCAGCAGTGCATCACTGCGATTTCAACTTGAATTCACCTCGGCTATGCTATCAGGATATAGAATTATTCATCCCTGATCGCATGACCGAAGCGAATTCCAACAGATACAGCAATCTAAACAACTAAGAGAAGGAGCGTACAATACATAGAACTTTACAGGCCTGTTATCGGCTTCTCAAAATCTACGCCGCACTTGAACCCTGGTCCCTATATTTAGTCGTGCTTCTATACAAGTAGTTTCAAAACTAATCAGTTATGGTGGCCAATGCTGCTATAACTTCTGAGCAGCTACCCTTCGGAACAGGCATAATTTATAGTTTCAGAACTCGGCATACTTGAAGTGTTTCCAGTCTATTTTTGGATCTCACATAGTACCTTGCCGCTTTGGTACGGTCCCCTACACTTATAACTGCGTTTGCTCAGAAAAAAATTATGTGAATTTTAAAATCTGCATTAGTCGGTAATAAAAACATTTTTTTAATTTTCGTTTTTCGATTTTGTAGACTTTCCGACCAAAAAAGAAGTTTCCGCCAGAAACCATTCGATATCATCTGCACAAGCAGGCAGAAGCCTCCTTGAGCGCTGGAGTCGACTTGCGTGAGGCGGTCAAGAAGCCGGCTGATGAAGAACTCAATGACTGGATTGCTGTGCATGGTAAGATAACCACCATATATCTCTATATCCAACTTCTGTGCCTTCCCTTTTGCTGCAGTAGTAGATTTCTACAATCGCATCAACCTGATTTACGGCACAATATGCGATCGGTGTACAGCAGAGTCTTGCCCCCGTATGACTGGTGGCAAAAAATTCGAGTACCATTGGCGGGACAACAACCGTTATCGGAAACCCACTCCCGTATCTGCACCTGATTATATTGGGCTGCTAATGGATTGGATCGACGAACAAATAAATGATCCGGTCCTGTTCCCTACCTCTATGGACGTTCCATTCCCCAAGAACTACCACAATGTTGTGAAAAAGATTATGAGTCGTCTTTATCGTGTCTTTGTTCACGTCTACATTCACCATTTCGACCGACTAATGGAGATTGGTGCGGTAGGCTATCTAAGATTTCCAGGGTTGAGTGTCTTAATCTTTTTTTATTTAGGAGGCACATGTTAACGTCTGCTACAAACACTTCTATTATTTCGTCACTTATTTTGACCTCATCGATCCCAAGGAACTGGAGCCCCTGGTAAGCTTTCTTACCGACCTTGTATAACAACTGTTATCACCTGACAGTTCCCAGTCGTTAATGCTTTTCTGTGATCTGAAGAACTACGTCTAAATATTTATCCATACAGACTTAAATCTGCAAAGAATGATTTATCCCAGCCTGAATTATGACCTTTTCGTAATTAATAGTTTCCACTACAGAACGCCGTGTGGCAAACCTCATCGGTCACCACGCAGGTGTATTTGACGCTCGGATCTTCTTACTTTTCATTTTCCCGAAGTTCTTAGGTAAACGTGTGCCATTTTATGGAAACTGGGTTCGTTGCGTTCGGCCTGCATTTTTTTTATGAAGATGTCTTGGTTGTAACCGAAGATCAATACTTATCATACTTTATCTTAGTTTTATTCGCTCGGAATTTTCCCTAACAGAACAGTACTTCAGATTTCTTTATCATTTGAGTCTATGCATTTTTATCGAATCTTGTGATAAATTCCTTGATCAGAAGTTGTGTTGGCGTTATTCCGCAATACACGTTAGCCCCCAGCTTGACAGTTTAAACTCGGTCAGGAGGATTCCGGATGTTGTTGACTATATTGTCACCACACAAACGGGCAATCGTTTGCATCTCATTCACTGTTGATTAACCTCTAAACTACCAACACAAGCGAACATGCGAGTCCCAGGAAGTAATTAAGAAGAAGATGACTCGATCGCTGGGACAATACTTTTATTCGCCTGACGTTTCGAGATCCATCGCGGATTCGTCAGCAGATGTTTCTAGCTGTGACAGTGGGTCTTTCGGTTTCATTATCCGCCGCCTTATGGTTGCCTCCGGTCTGTGTGCGACTCCAACTTTAAGTGGCGCGAGAAGGCGGCCGACTGCCTCCGAGACGTTTTTGACGTACGGGGTCACTCGCTCGAAACTAACATGATGCCAATCACAGAATAATTAACCTTTCTTCGTTTCTTTTTTTTTCACTGTTCGCAGCGAGAGCTTACCCAAAGAATCTGTAATTAATTGGTGCCTACCCCAACTTGCTGCTTCCAACTCGGCGCCAGCTGACCTCAGTCCTTATATGTTCGCCAATCTTCCCACGAACGACATCTTGCCTCCCATCGCTCGTCGGGTTGTTTCCACCTCTTGTGGTTACTGTCCTGCTATTGGCGCCCAACCAGCCGTCAATCCTGCGGAGCAATACTCGTCCTGCGAACGGCCTAACACACAGCGTTGTTCCTTACCTCCACATATTTTGACATGCACTGTCCTCTGTTTCCCATTTATGCAGTAGCAGAAGCCGTGTACAGCTTCTTCTGCTCGGCTCTATGTCAAAAAACGATACAATCACCCCCATGACCAGCGCAAGTGTAACGCTTATTTTTTTATAAACTCCTTTCCTGTTGCTGTTTCCAGCTTCCTACTCCTACTCCTCCTTATTCTTCGTTTGCTTCTATCCAAACACTTCCCTCCCTTCACAGCCGTTCCATTTGGAACTTGAATGGTTACAGACAACCTATACCTTTTCACCTTGTGACGAATACAGTCCGTTGGAAGGTATCTATCGATGGCATAAATGATCATTTCACAAGTGAATGCGTTCAAAAACACCGGAGAGACATGCATTTAATGGTGTTTTGAAATATGTTCCCTTGCTCAGGCCATAATTGCGGTCTTCGTTCGTCCATGGACAAAGTACCGAATGCAAAAGTTATACCATCGATTTCGACGAGGTCCACCGTGTACCCTACAGCAAGGTAGCGTAGCGACAGTGACTGGCACGTGAATTATGTTGTCGTGGTGGTGGTGGTAGTAGACTTGCGCTGCATCTACCACGTGTTGTCCTCACCCACACGGGTTCGAAGCGGTGAGCGGTCGCAATTAGCTGGC